ACCGGGGCTGCAGCTCAGAAAGGGAAGGGCGGGGCGGGGCTCAGAAAGCCGCTGACCTACAGAGCAGGTCAAAATGAGCAGAGAAAGAGAGCCCCTCCAGGAGACCGTCACCCACCGGCTGGAGCAGCAAGGCACGACTGCAGCCATGGCGGGGGGGGCAGGAGGGGAAGGACCACCCACTGCTCTGCCAGCAGCAGAGCCCCTCTCCCCAGCAGGCATGGGGAAGGGGGAGGCAAAGCACGGCCCTCACCCACAGAAGGGGAGCAGGGAGAAGGAATTCACCTTTTGCTCACACATCCCAGCGGCAGAGACCCGCAGGAGGAGCCAGTGGACCCTCCAGAAGCCACCGCCACCTCCCTGCCAGGTGGCCGGACAAGATCAGCCACCACCCTGGCGCCTGCCGCTGCGCCAGCCCGACCTTCAGCCGGGTGTAAAGGTCGGGGCGGCTAGCAGAGGGTGGAGGCAGCGGCCCTGCTTACCTGGGGCCGACTGGGCAAGGTTTTCCAGGCAGCCAGCAACTGCAGCACCATGGCACCAGGGAAGCTGCCGGCTCTGCCACAGCCCACCCCGGCAGTCCTCACCCGGTACCCTTGATTTTGTCCCCTGGGCACACCCTGCAGTTACATCCCCATATCCTGGCGAGAGGGGACCCATCTCATCTCTGCTGCAAGACTTGCCTAGAAAGCCTTCTCCCCAACCCAGTGGTTTAGATGTGGTTTGGGTTCTTTTTGTGAACCAGAGCTCAGCAGCAGAGGCAAGTGCTCGCTGCAGAGCGGAGCCCCAGCAGCGTGCGGGATCGTGCAGGCTGCTGCCTGGCCCGCAGAGCTGCATCGCACAGGGGTAGCAGGAACACCACACTGCTAAGAAATGCACTGCGGGCTGCATTTGAGAGCCAGCCCCTCACCGTGCAAGGTGAGAGGCGACTTTCAGTGCAGATGCACGTGGGCCTGGGATTATGGGGTTATGCAGCTGCAGCTCGGCATTTCCTGACTTGCCAGCCCTTCATTCTGCAGCCAGACCCGCCTGGGCACCCTCCTCCCACACCCAGTTGCCAAAGATGCATTTTTACTTAAAGACTAAAAAAAAAGGCGGTACACACAAAAACTACCAAGCGGCACACAGAAACTCCACATGAAGCCCCTTCCCCTGCCACGGGCCATCAAGAGGTGCTGCACACTGGGCAGGGTCAGCTGCTTAATGTGAAGGTCACCAGACCCCCACCAACCCTGGCTGCCCCACGCCGAGGGGCACCCACTGCCCCCATCTGCCTTCCTGGTAGCAGAAACGCAGAAGCGGCCAGCCATGGGCAAGGCTTATTTTATAAGAAAACTGAATTCTGACACCGAAGTGACGGTCTCCTGGAGGGGCTCGCTTTCTCTGCACATTTTGCACTCACCAACGAGCACTAGGGATTTTACACAGCTCCTGGCAGAGGGAGGTGAGCTTCATCCCGCTCCACACCTCTCGCCCCACACCGGGGTGGACCACAGGATCTGCGGCACAGCTCATTCTGCCCCAGGGTGCCCACGAGCTCTTATATCCCAGAGGAGCATCCGTCAGAAGCGTGTACAGCTGCTCCGTAAACCCTCTTTGGTATGGAAGAGCTGTTTCCCCTGGAAAGCTGCTGAGCTGGGCGCTACAACCCCTGTCCCCAGCCGAGCCGTCCCAAATCCCGCCGGGGGCACAGACTCTCTGCACACCCTGCACCAAGAGGACGGCTGCTCCCCGCCATGCAGGCTTGCATCCCTCCCGCGTCACCCTTCTCCATGAGAAGCCCGGCAGGGAGGATGCACCGCCCAGGACCGGGCACGCAGCGAAGGGCAAAAGCAGGTTTAGCCACCGCTGTCATCAGGGCAGGGATGTCGGGAGGGCAACCTTTGCGTGCCACCGCCCTGCTAGCGACTGCGTCCTCTGCATGCAACCCAAGGGCAGAGCTCTCAAACACCCTGCCTTGGCCTGGGCACTCCATGGAAAGGAGCTTTCCAAATGTTGCTGGATTGGCCATGCTGCTTGGAGGGGCTGGGAAAAGCCCACTGGCACAACAAGAAGCAAAAGCCAGGCCAGATGCAGCAAACTGAAGAAGGACACAGGGGCTGCTCTGGCTTTATCCCCCCAGAGAGCAAACACAATCTCATCCTAGGAAAGGTCTCCCAAGGAGCCACCAACCTGTGCTCGCTCCGACTGAGGGAGGGTGCAGAGCTGAGGAGCAGCCAGTCCCAAAAGCAAACCTGTCACCTTGCTCCCAGCACAGGGGAGGCAAGGTCAGCCCGGGAATGAGCACAGGATGCTCCCAGCTGCCACTGGACCCCCCTTATCTGCGTGCTGGAGCAGCCTCTGAGACAATTACCGGCAGATAACCCCCAGCAAGCAGCACTCCTGCCTTTGCTCCCTGGCTCCGGGCCACGTTGCCTCTGCATCCTGGAAGATCTCCCACGCAGGCGAAACTTGCCTAGGAAGCTTGCCCACAGTGCAGCGGGGAGGTGAGCCGTGGCTGATCCTCACCTCCCCGGCATTCCCACAGGACCCAGGTGCCAGCCCCATTCAGGACACACTTATCAAGACTGAAAAATATGCAACAGGCGACCCGGCACCACTTGCCGTGAGTGCCACCACGGCGCTGCACCACGTGCCAGGGGGGGCAGGACGTTTGCTATTCCCACTCAGCAGCTCGATAAAAACACTGCTCCACCCTCCTGTCACTCTTCCCTTCCCAGGGCGTGGGTGCCCCTGGAGCTGGCCCTGATCCTGCACTGCGGGGTGAGCTCGGCACTGGGAGCAGGCTACGGCCCTGCATGCCCAAGTGCGCGCAGGTCACAGACCATTAAGATCAGGCAGGGATCGGCTGCCTGCACCGAGGATCCCCAGCACCGGCACACACTTGTGAGGTGCAGCTACAAATATACCCAGCGGAGCCGACAAGACGGCGGGTCTGCAGTCAATTTCTGGGCACCAGGAGACAGTGCAAGGGGAGAAGGCACTGGTAGAGAGGGGAGCTGCATTGGAAAGCAACCCCTGAGCACACATAAAGCCTTGTGCGTGTGCCCTGCTCGCTCTGGCATGCGAACCTGCCTGCCCAGGGCCAGGCCAGCTCTGCTGGACCATCAGCAGAGCCCAGGGATGCTCGACCAGAGGTTCCAGCCCAGCCACCTGCAAAAACTACTCCCAGCTCCATCCTTCCCCTCCAGCCTGGCATTTTATCGCCCTGACCCCACACACGTTCCCAGCTGCAGGGTTAAAGTACAGACACCTCTCTGCACAGGGCACATGTGCCGCAGGTCCAGGTGAGCGGAGGGGAGCAGCACCATAGGGAAAGCTTGGAGGCTTTTAAAAGTCACCACGTGGCCCTCGCACTTCCCTTTGAGCATCCAGCTCAGAGAAATACCATCACGTGAGTTTTTGTATTTTCAGGTGAGGAATATCAAGGCTTTGTTGCATGGGGCATGAGGAGGGCGAATTGCCAAACCCAAGTGCTGATGACAGCAGCAGACAAAGGTCAGGGGGAGAAGTGCTCAAAGGGAAGGGACCTGACAAACAGCTCAGAGGCACCATCACAGGGAGCAGCCTCCTCCTTCTCCTTGACGGCATGCAGCAGTGGTCAGAGGTGCTGCTCCAGGCACAGGTGCTCAGAAGAAAGGCAGGATGGCAGCTCCTCTTTCTGTCCTCCCCTGGTTTTGTCTTTGCTTCTTTCCACTCCTAGTGCCTGGCAGGACCCCACCGGGAGGGCATCTCGTCCCCCGAGACCTGCGCAAGCAGCCTCTCTGCTCCCTCAGAGCCCCAGCGAGGTCAGATGCAGAGCACGCGTGCACTCATCCAGCACCCCATGGGCAAGCCCTACCCGCGCTCACATATGGGAGACAGGTGCCATCCTCCGCCTCTGCTAGCAGGGAGGAACTTCTCAAAGCTCCTTTCCGCCAGCATCTCCTCCTTTGGGCATCCTACGATCCAGCTCTCCCGCTCTTTCCGCAGCCATGATGCACGCAGAAGAGCAAACACTTGGGAGCACACATCCCCTTGACAGGCCCCAGCCTCACCTGCCCTGGGGCTCAGGCCAGGGAGACCTTTCTCCTTGGTTCCTAGGCCTTCAAGCCTCCAGAACACTGAGGTCAACTCCCAGGATACAACAGTCTGTGTTTCACAGCAGCAGCGCTGCCTCCCAGGATGGCTGTAGCCCGGGTGCTGCTGCCCACACGTGCCAGGAGCCATCACGGACCCAGAAAGCCACCGGCTACAAAGCACGGACATTTCAGCCTTGGTCTAAAGGGGTTTCAAAACATTTTGTCCTGTTTAACATTTAGGAACCATTCTTGGTTGGCATCTTTGCCAAATTTCAAGTGGCAAAGGGAGCCAGAAATACAAGAACATTAAGTGCTTCCTGGAAAGAAAGAAAAAAAAAAAAAAAGCCAAAACAAACAAACCCCACACCCACAGCACACCCCTGAGCGGCACTAATGGCTCCGCATCCCAACGGCCTCTGCCATGGAACGGAGGAGGAACAGCGGGAACAGGGACCCGCAGGGCTCTGCCCAGCGATGCCACCAAGGAGGCAGAAGGCGAGGGGCAGGCGAGGGGTGGCACGCCGGCCTCGGCAGAGAGGACCAGAGCTGCTGGGGGGTAAAACCAGCGGGGCCCGGGAGAGGCACCTTCATCAGGGGACGCCAACTGCTGCACCCTGGCAGCGGCGCGGTGCCACTC